AGGAAAAAGTTTTTAAGTGTCGAATGGAAATTGGACTATGTGGATTTCGTAAGTCATCGTTTAGAAAATTTCTGACATGGATCCATGGCTATTATGAGTTCGGTTGAGTATAGGTTGTTGAAGATATACTTGCAAAAGCTACCACAAGATACACTTCTGAGTTTTTAGCAAGTACTCGACAACTTGGTGGTTTTTTGCGATAATTTGAAAACAAAACCGTCCGTCCAATTATGCGTCTAGATTATAGACAAAGCGGAATCCAAAAATATCGTCAAAGATGTCGAAACTTCAATCGTATAAGGTGATGATTAAACAAGTAAATCATACATGATTCAATAACTATACAATACCATATATGATTAAACAAGTCTACCATACATAAATCAACTATAACATACAAAGAACTATATCATACATGATTCAACAACTCAACCATACATATAAAGAACAATAACTCTATCATACATGATTCAACAACTCTATCATACATGATTCAACAACTCTATCATACATACACCAAACAATAACTTTACAATACACGGTCTAACAAGTCTACTATACATGGATGTCTGATTCCTGCAACACACACAAATTAGGGTTAGCTTTATTTTCGAAAGCTCACTTTCAGCCGCCGTTGCAATTGTAACTCTATCTTTCGCACAATTGACGCTGAAAGTTCCTTTTCAGCCCCTGCCACCATAGGTGACTGGTGTCTTTCGCCCAAAAAACACTGGAAGTTCCCTAATATGCTCGCCGGGTCCTCACATCGATTTTCTGAAGAAGATGAAACGGCTTCATGGCCTCAAACACGAAATTGCCAGAATCACAGATTCGCCGGAAATACAAAAAAAATCAGTATAATAACTCTATCATACATTATTAAACAAGTCTACCATACATGGAACAATTAATTATATATGATTCAATAAATCTATCATATACGGAAAACTGACGTGTTCGTCGCCGAGAGAAGACGAGATGTTTGAAATCAGCTTTTTTTGTCTTTCGTCTTCTCCGGTGCTTGATGTAGCCGACAAGCCGACAATGGTAAAGAACGCGAAAATGAAAAAGTGAATGAAACGAAATGACGAAGAAAAACGAAACGGCAAATGGAAAAAAACTTATCGGAGATGCAGAATAGGCCGATAAGAAGCATAGAAGGTGACCGGAAACGATGCAGACGCCGGAAACTCGCAAAATCTAGAAAATCATCGTCATCGTCGGTTTCTCAGCCACCTCTAGGTTTTTTTCGGAAATGAAATAGAAATTAGGTTGAAAACGAAATCCCAAAGTTAATAAAAAAAATTTTTTTTTATTATTTTTTTTAAAATTAATTAAATTACGAAATAAAAAAAAAAAAAAAACTGATTTTCATGTGTGAGGGGTTACACTGTCTTTTCCACGCTGGTAAGGTTATTCTAGCAAAAATGTAAGGAACCTAGGTTACTTTTGCAAACAGACCTGTTTGTAAGGTCATTCTAGTAATTGTTCTCATTAGATTATAGTTATTTTCATTCATGGTTTAACATTTTCCTACCATCTGATTTACGTACTATTGCATATACTTGGATATTACCCACATTAATTAATTGATGTAGAATACATAGTTTCATTATTCAAATTATTAATAGTGCTAATCTTTGGTGATTATACATTAGGTGATGGACTATGATGTATTTCACAAAATCAGATGACATGTGTATGGTAAAAGAACAATGAATCTCAATCAGTGAAAAGGGAATAAGTCCAATAGGGTTCTGATCTTCTCGAGTATTCTGTGTTGGTTTTGATTTAGTTGGTAATTAAATAACCATTTACAACAGGAAAAGGGGTATAATATTACGGCCAGGCAAAAGGAGTTAACTGAAAGAGGGCAATGAGTTTGATCAATTCAATATATGGTCACAATTTACAAACTGCGTCTTTATTTACATCAGAAATGCTAGAATAAAATAACGAAAAGAAGACAAATAAACAAATAAGCAATCAAAATGATATTTCTGTTCTAATAATATGTATAATTTCTTATATAGATAAATATAAATAAAGACGAAAATTTTATACCCGCAAAAAAACAGGATATTCGTAAAAGAGAGAGCGAATGGATAAGAGAGAGAGGAGGATGTTTTATAATTGAAAGATGAGATGATTTACAATCGAAATTGAACGAATCGTTCGTTTATACAGAAGATAAAAAGTTTGAGTTACTATACGTAAATAGTGACGGTGGACTCCACAATAATTTATCACGTTTGATATGCCTCTTTTTACGACTTTCTCTCGTTGTCTATAATTGACTTTCGTAACACTCCCCCTTGGAGACCAGTGTCACTATTGTCTCTTGCGCTATGTCTTTGTTGCCTCGCTAAAAAAATTTCCAGGAAAACCCAATGGGAAAAATCATGGAAGGTAAAAAGAGTACAACTACGCAAGCTCCCCCTCGAATAACTAAATGTCATTCTATAAGTCTCGTTGATGTCGAATTCCAATATTATGAACATGTTTTCAGAACATAGTGGTCGACAATAATTTCGTGAAGAGGTCTGCTGCGTTTTCGCAAGATCGGACATATCTTACTTCAATTTCTTTATTCTTCTCGAGCTCTTGAGTGTATGAGAAGAACTTTGGAGGGA